CGAGGAGCGGGCCGGGGGCGGCCGGGGGGCGGCGGAGGCGCGCGCGGGGCCATGGCAGAGACGGACTCGCGCCCCCAGCTGCGCGGCGGGGCGCACGGGGGGCGCCGCGGCCGCCCCAGGAGCGCCGCCGCCGAGGCTGCCTCCTGCCCGCAGAGACCCCGCGGCCGGACGCTTTTCTCCCGGGCGAGTGTCGGCTCCCCGCCGGGCCGCCGCGCACCCTGGAGCCGCCAGATGCAGATGCGTCCATCGATCTCGTGGCGGGGAAGCAAGGGCGCGTTTTGTTTACAACTGCAGCTGCCGAGCTGGGCGGACGGGCGGCCTCCGCTCCCCCTCCGCGGCCGCTGCGCCCGAGGATGGCGCGTTCCCCCGGCCGGCCGTGTCAGAGCTTTGCGCGGTGGCGGGGCGCCCGGAGACGGCCCTTTGCGGTTTTTAAATTATGATGGCCGAGAATCTTCGACACCCACCTTCTCCTGTCTGTGTTTCCTGTATATCTTTTGCTGTGCAAAAGTGAGTAGGGCTGTTTGCGTGAGTGTGCGGAAAACACACATGTATCTTGTTCCTTTCTCCTTTTTTGACCTCCAGGCATTGGGATCCTTTATTTTTCTCTTGTTTGTCTCATTTGCACACTCTTGGAGTTAATAAAAAGGAAGCCAGTGGAAGGAATCCTCGCAGGCTTGATGTGTGTGCGCTCGTCATGGGCGGAAAGAGGGGGGCAGCCCTGGCCTCTCCCCAGCAGGGCTCCCTGGTGGCCTGTGGCATCGGCCCTGCAGCTGGCTGGCCCTCTGTGTGGACGACCTGCGGGGCCGGGGCAGCTGGGGCAGCCCGGGGCAAGGCAGCTGCTTGCTCCGGCAGAGCCGGGACAGCCCTCCGGGCCAGCCGGCCTCTCTGTGTGCGCGTTTGTCTGAGGCCTGGATGAGGAGAGCGGTCTTGGAGGAGCCCCCACCCTGGCTGCTGTTACCCCACGAAGGGGAGGCTGTGACATCATTTTTGCCCCGACATCATTTCCTCAGCTGAGGCAGGAGCGAGTCGTGGGGCGGGGGCATAGCTTTCCACCATTGCCAGCGGCGCCATGGCCCAGGCCAGGGGACACCCAGGCAGTGCTGCGTTTGTAGGAAGAAGGGGGGCAGGCTTGGAGTGGCCGGGTCTGGGGAGCGCAGCCCCCTCCCCCCGGCGCTCTCCTGGTGGTGGACGCGGCAGGGCACCCGCTCAGTCTTTCCTTGGAGGTGCCGTGAAAGGCCCTGCTCCCACGGCCAAGAGCGCCCAGCCTGGGGGGCTCTTTGCTCGAGGGACACTGCAGGAGAACCCAGGCCAAAGGGTCCCTCTGTCCCCGCAGGGGGCAGCCCGGAGCCCTCCCTGCCCAGCGCAGTCAGCTGGGTGCCCTGCTTGGGCCCTGCGGCCCTCCTTGGGCCTGTTCCCGCCCTGCTTCGCTGGCTGGTGCCGGTTCAGCCCGGCCAGGCTGGTGACGAGGCCTGGCTTCGCCTTGATTCTCGGTGAAGGTGGGTCCAGATCTCTCAGTCCTAACAAACCGGACCCTGGGATTCAGCCAGGCCTTTGTGTCACGCCCTCCTCCTTCCTGTTTCTCTTCCTCCCGGAGTGCAGGTTGGCAGCCAGTTGTTGCAGCTGCAGGGCTGCCTCCGAGGACTGGGCTGGTTTTAGCAGAGGCCCTCCATGTTAGTGGCAGGGAGTGGCAGGGAGTGGAGCCACCGTGGAAACTGACCTTCCCTCCACGCACAAAGAGGGCCGGGAGCCGCCTCCCAAAAGCTCCTTCGTGCCTGTCATGCTTGGTGGGGGAGGCCTTTGCGCTCCTCTGGCTCCAGGCAGCTGTCAGGGAGCATGGAGAGACGGCCTTCGCTGCCCCCCCACTCTGCCCGGGGTGGGGGAGCCTCGGAGCGGCTCTCCCTGACCTCCCAGCCTGCACCCCGCCAGGCCAGAGAAGGTGGGAGGCGCAGCACACGGGCCGGGCCGGCAGGCGGTCCAGCCTGGCTCTGCCCTGCCCCTGCCGCTAGCCCATGGTCCAGGTCAGAGGAGCAGGAGGGGAGGCCAGGCGTGGGATCAGGCCTGGGGGGCAGCCCAGGGTTCTGCACACCTGGTGTCGGACGAGATGCCCCAGGGCGAAGCCCGCAAGCTGGTCCCGAGAGCAGAAAACCCCCAGTGGGCGCTCGTTCTCCTGGCTCACCTCAGCATCTCCCGTCTGGCCCCCACCCTAAGCCAAAACTCACCCAGGCCAAAAGGGGCTCTGCGGCCGGCTGCAGGTGCCCAAGCAATGATGTCACCAGATACCCTCCACACTGTGGGGGCCAAGAACACTGCATGGCTTGGATTCCGGAGGGCGGAAGCCTCTAGCAGGGCCCGGGCTAGGTGGCAGGGGCTGGAGCGCCTCCAGGGTTGGGGTCCCGAGGAGGGGCCTGGCGGGACATGTGCTGCCATCGCAGTCTGCTCCTGGGGGGAGCGGAGGATCCGTGGGTCAGAGGGGATCTTCAGGGGTGCTGCGTGAACCAGTCTGTGCACGCCAGCTCCAGAGCTGGGCCAGGGCACCTGGGCAGCAGGGACTGTGGCATTCCTGTCTCCGGCGAGGAGCCACTCTTCCCGGAGAAGCTATGATAGCCCTTCAGCTGAAGGCCTGCTGTCTTTTCCCGGACCCAGGCTCCTGGGGGTGGGGGGCTGCCCAGCCACAAACCCAGGCCGGAAAGCTCTGCCCTGCCTGTGTCTCGGGCCGGGGCAGCCCCCGGCAGCGTCTCTCTCGCACCGCCGGGTCGCTCTCTTCGTGGGCTTTCCAGGGACACGAAACCTGTTGCCCCATGGAACTGAAAGAGGGAAAGGCTGCCCGCTGCCCCCCAGCTTTTCCCCAAGGGGAGTCGGCACCAGGTCCCCACTCGGCCCTGGGGCTCTGCAGCTGAGCGTGGGCCAGCCCCACCCTTGGGACTGTGAAGCAGAACTGGCGCTCCACGGCAGAGATGGAACCAGGGCCGCCTGGGCAACGGTTGCCCCACCTGAGCGGCCCCCCAGGGGCAGCTCGCTCCGTGGCGGAGCACGTGCCCCCCCCACGGGGTCGGGCCAGCGGCCAGCAGGAAAGGGGAACGTGCCTTTCCTGCGCTGGAAGCCCGGCCACCTGGCCCTGCGTGAGGCTGGGCGGGGGCTGCAGCGGCCTGTCAGGGCTGCTCCTTTGCAGGCTGGTGGCCGCCAGTTGGCCCAAGCCGGGAGGAAAGCGCCATGTCGGCTCTCGGGCCGTTTCTTGCCGGGGGCTCCTGCTCGCCACTGAGGCCCGCTGAGGGCCAGAATGCTTCTCCGGGGTGCCTGGGGCAGCGGGGGGGGCGGGGGCACCTGGGAGTGTCTTCCTGCACAGTGCAGCCCCACTGCCACAGCTCCCCCCGGAGGCCTCTCCGTCCCCACAGAGCGTGCGTGTGCGGCTGCAGCAGTGCAGTGCGGCATCCGGTCCGCAAAGAAGCGTCACTTGGACGCCCTTCGGGGAGGCGGCACCGGCTTGCTGGCTCCTGCGAGACCCTGCAAGGCGTTCCTGCTTCCCAGAATGGGCAGCCAGTGCGCTGGGGCAGGAGCGCTCAGGCAGAGGCAGAGCGAGCGAGCGAGCAAGCCAGAAGGGTCTCCCGGGCCATCTAGTCTGACTCCCAGCTCCGCTCATGCAGTCCCGAGCATGTAGATGTCCTGGAAGGCCCTCACCGATGGGGCCTCCACCGCCTCCCTTGGGAGCCCATTCCCTACCCGAGAGGTTCTAACCGTCGGGAAGTACGTCCTGACATCCTGCCTGAAGCCCGGCGCCTTGAGCTTTGCCCCGCTGGAACGCGCCCTGCCCTCCACTGCAGGGAAGAACAGTCCTGGGCCCAGCCCTGGGCACCACAGTCGAAGAAAGATGCAGACAAGCTGGAGAGGGCTCAGGGAGGGCAGGAAGGACGATCCGGGACTGGAGACGGAGCCCTGCGAGGAGAGGTGGAGGAGCTGGGCGTGTGCAGCCTCCAGAAGAGCAGGCGGAGGGGAGATAGGATAGCGATTTGGAAAGGCTGTCACAAAGAGGAAGGCCAGGCTCTTCTCTATCATCCCAGAATGCAGGATACAGAATAATGGGCTTCAGTGACAGGAAGCCAGGTTCTGGCTGAACATCAAGAAAACTTCCTGACTGCTACAGCAATATGGCAACGGGAGCAATGACCCCGGAGCTGCGCGCTCCCCCACACCGCAGGCCCTCGGGAGGCCGCCAGGCAGCCCTCTGTCCGGAGCTCGAAGCCGGAGTCCTGCGCTGAGCAGCCGGTTGGAGGGATGGCCTTGGGGGCCCCTGCCAACTCTTCTGTGGGTCTGGGGTTCTACTCACCACGTGGAAAGAGCACACAAATAGAGGAACTGTGTGCGTACGCATCAACAACCCCAGATGTATGCAGACTGAAACCCCCTTTTTCATGGGGGCCCAGAGCCAGCTGGCGAAACCTTTTCCCAGGAAAGGAAAGGAAAGGAAAGGAAAGGAAAGGAAAGGAAAGGAAAGGAAAGGGGTGAGGTGCATGTTTGTGCCTTTCTCAGCAGCACGGAGGGGGGGGCTGCACTGAATGCACAGCATATGGAAGATGATCAGGGCAAGGGGGGAAACGGGGGGATCTTGCTGCCCCTTTTCCTGAGCAAAGGTCCCACGTGCCTTGTGCTCCCACGGCCACCTGCCTTCCACCCCTCTGGGCTGGTGCTGGCGGCTGGGCCCTGCTGCATTCTGGCCCCAGAGGTCCTGGGCGAAG